TCTGAAGCAAAGATACAGCTCCTACACTGAGCCCTACTTCATCCTCAGCTGCCGACATTCCTCATCCTTGGCTGTGGTGTGGTTTCCTTGTCCATTCCAGAGTCCCACATTGTCACCCAGTAAATCTCACTTATGGTAAAAACTATTTACACCATGTTAACCCTAGCCATTTCATGCTGGGTTTGCTATAGAACACCTTTGTGGAATATACAGGACCAAAGCATCACTAATAATAAAATAATCCACACTGCGTTCCTTAAGGCTGGCAATTACTGTCTGTCTTAATTATTTTTCTCTCATTGCTGGGACAAAATACCTGACAGCCAAAATTAAGGAAGGGAAGGTTTACTCAGCTCATAGTTAGTGGAGGTTTCAGTCCATACTTGGCTGGCTCCAAGGCAGAGTTGCGCTTGGCAGATGGTGGCAATTCATGGTGGTGGAAAACAGCAAAACAGCCAGAGCAAAAAGGCAGGAGCAGAGAGCAAGACTCTCTCCCTTCCTTATACTGTTTTCAGGCTACCTGCCCCAGGCTGGGTATAGCACACCCACAATCCTCACGGTGGATCCTGAATTAATCACAGTTTGGAATCCCACCCCAGTGACTATGTGAGGCTAGGGGGAACAACTAGACACAAACCATAACACTGTCATCTTCCTTGGGTGGTAATACTGTGAGATGTAGAGTAATACAACTGAGTCCCTTGCCAGAGGCCAAAAACTGCAACAATAATGAGCTTTAACAGTTTCTCTGCCTCTCCTTCCTGGTTGTTGGGATGTAATTCTCAGTTCAACTCAAAGAGACCCCGTTCAAACCCTGACTTTGCCACTAATTGAGCTGTGTGATGCTGGCCATGTTACTGAACTGAGCTGATCCTGCTTCCTCATTTGGAAAAGAAGCATTCTACCACTTCCTCAAAGAATAGCTATGAGTGTAAAGCACCTGGCATGAGTGTTAAGTGCCTAGTAAGACAACACAAGCAACAAAGACATCAACCTTGTATTGTGCCAGGCACAGTGTTGTTTAACTCCTTTAGTCTTCATAGGCTAGTGTCATCATTTTTGCAAATGTTAAACTGAGATATACAGGTGAGGTAATCTTCCAAATCACACAAGTCACACATAGGCACAAGTAGCCTATGTGTCCAAGCAGTCCAGCCTAGAGGCATAGTATTCAAGGGTTCTTTCCTACCCTCTTAACCCAAACAGCTGCTGGCTTCCATGTGGACTCAGTCACGCATGCACACACACATACAGTGTTCTTCAAATGCCTATACACGTTTAGGCATGTTTTTTATTGTCTAACTTTGGCCGAGTTATGTAACTGGTCTGTCCTCTACGTCTACACCTATAAAACATGGATATTAACAATTGTTCCTCTTTCATGGAATGACTACACGAAATAAACAAACTGGATAAAGGGCTGAGAAGAGTGCTTGGCACTTAGGATGAACTTCATGCAGGATGTATGGGGTGGGGATGTAGCTCATTGGTAATACTTTTCTGGCATGTGCCAGAACCTGGGTTCAAATCCTTATCAAATAAACAAAAGGAAAACATCAAAAGTAATAAGCAACATGTTGTATTAGAGTTCTTTTTTTCCTCTTGGTACCAGGAATTGAACTCAGGACTTTGCATTTGCCAGACCAAGCACTATGCCACTGAGCTATGGCTCCAGTTCCAGAAGAATTCTTGGGCTCCAATGCTTGGCGGATATTTTGTAGCTGACTGGATCTACTAGTTTCAAATGGTTATACTTGCTCTCAGGCAAACATACATTTGAAAATAGGTTTTAATTTCTTAATCAATTAAAAAAAAAAAAAAGACAGACCCACAGGATTCTGGTTAGAAAGAAACTAGGCCAGGCCTCTATAGAAGCAAGAAGCTACATAACACACGGGAAAGAAATCAGAGCAGTCTTCCTGGAGGCTTTCTAGGCTGTGAACTGTAATCCACCCACTGGATAAATGCTATGGCTAATGGGCAAAGAGCTTGTGAAAGTTTTATGGCTTGGTAACAATCTTTGGTTATATAGGTTAAAGTGGCTTTCTACCCAATACTGTTGAAAGCCAGGAATTTTATAAGTGAAAAAGGGCAGCTTTTGTGAACATGTTGAACATAAAACAAAACACCACATTAAAGGAAAAGCTGGAGAGCAGACAGGGCCAGCCAGCTCAAGGGAGCCCTTCTGCAATCATTGTTATGGCTTTGTATTTATGTATCTTGTACCACATTTAAATTTGCAATAAAAGGGAAAAAAAATCCAACACTTATTACTCTAGCTGCCTTTCTATGTCCCATTGAGATATAAAGCAGAATCTCAGCGCACAGAGGAAGCAAAGAAAGAGCTCATCTTGCTTCATGTCTGTAGGGGCTGCCACAGCCCTTGTACCATGTTCAAATCATGGAATTCATAATGTAAATCTCTAGCAGATGACACCACTGGAAAACAGAAACTGCCATAGATCCAGCAACATTTCTACATTTCTCCTCTAAACTCCTTATCTATGAGCCCGGGGCACTAGCAGTTCTGTTTTATGCAATGAGTTTGGCCTACTGGGAAACATGTTCTTTGGAAGACTTGATGAAAGACTTTCAACCACAGAATACAGAAATGGCCTTTACCATTTATTTCACATGTGACAGTGCTAAATACTTCACAACCGGACACTCTGAGTGCTTTATTCTGTAAGGGGTTTGTGTCACACACATACCAACATAGCTCATTCTTAATCACCAATAAAAGCCCATATAAATCATGGATTGCTTCCAAAAAATGGCTTTCTAGAACTGTCCAGAAAAGAGGAAACATGTCCTAGTTGCTAGATGAAAGGTCTTTTATAAGTTGGACCATTATAGGAGTCTTTTAAATCAACTTGAGCAAAAAAATAAATGAAAATATAAATCAACTTAGGTATACCCATGGGACACCCTCCCTACTTCCTGGTGTGCCCTTTTTTCTTCCTATGATACTAAGGGGACATGCCTGGCTGGCTTCGCTATTTAAGCAGGGACATCTGCTGCCATCTTAATTTTTCTTCTCTCTAGGCAGCATCCCTAAGAAACTCTAGGATGTTGTAAAGACTATAAGCTGGGGGATGGGGAAGGAATCTTTGTCTCCCTAACACATTTGTCAGTTCCCTCCCCAGAGCCCCCTACCCGCAGCACACTTGAGCAGCCCACTCCCCCACAACGCACCCGGGCTGGAAAGATTCATGTTGCAATACTCTCCTGACATTCCTCTTCCCGCCCTCGTTTTAATTCACTCACTTTTTTTAAAAAAGCAAAATGTAATTACTTGACTGTCAGCCTGGGCTGCACTCTAGGGCTTTTACTCCTTTCAACACAGCTGTGCTCCCGGCTTTGATGCTGCTGTCCACGCAGCTTGTCCCTGCCCCAGCCCAGCTTTCCGTAATGTAACATTCAAGTGCCTATTTATTTTTAAACTGACCTCCTCTAGACTGTACAGTATAAAGGAGGTCCTGCCAAAAAAATATGCTATTCTATTTATAAGATGAAACACATGCCTCCCAGAGGCGAGAGGGGGATGGAGTATAATAATTCATAAAAAATGACTAGCCAGATCGGTTCATCCTGACAGGTCTCATACTGGTCGATGTCAAGGCACTTAGTTTTAAGGAGAAAGGGGTGGTGGTGGTGCAAACGCTTCAGCTGTTCGGAAACCACAATTAAAAAAAATTTTTTTCAACTGCCAGATCTGCAGGTTAAGAGTCTCGGCTACAACGCCGCCCTCTACACGGGCGCGAGACCGCGAAGGGCACTGCCACCGATCTGCACCGCGCGCGTCCCTGGTGCAAAGCCACAAGAAAAGGGGCGCGGTGGCCAAGCGCGGCTGGTCCTCGGATGGAAGAATGCGCTGGCCGAGACGCCCCGTCAACGGGCGCGGAGGGGGCCGCGCGGCCGCAGCCCCACCCCGGGGAGTCGGGGCACAAACGGTGTAGCTCAGCCTGACCCCTCCGCCGCTCCACCCCGGAGGGTCCCCTGGACTCCCGCTGAGAAGGCGGTGCCTTCGCCGCCCCCTCCCCGCAGGGCTGCAAGCCCACACGAGCGACCGCGGCCCGGGCAGACACTCACAGGTAGAGGCGCAGAGCCCTGGGCCGGCTCCGACTCCTTCGCTGCCCGCCGAGGATCCGGACGCTGCCCCGGGCCGGACTCCCGCAGTCCCTGCCGGAGCGCGCAGACGTAGCGAGCCGGCTGCCGCGACGCCTGCTTAGAGTATTACCCGCTCGGTGGCGACGCGAAGGATCCCCAGGCCGGGATCTGGGGCTCTGGGTTCCTGCCCAGGCTCCACCGACGCGATGCGGGCCGCGACTGGGGAGAAAGGTGCTAGCGAGACTGAGCGCGCGGCGAGCGGACGTTAGCCCCGAACCTGCGGAGGGCGGGGCGGGGCGGTGGGCGGGGCCTCCGAGGGGCGTGGCCCGGCGGTGGGGCGGGGCGGGGCGAGGCGCGGGCGGCCCGGGCTCTCCCGCCGGGAACCTGTTCCTGGCCAAGCAGCCGGAGCTCGCGCGACCTTGCCTCCCGCGGGGTCAGCTGGCCCTCGGACCACAGTGCGCGCCTGCTGTCCCCTCCCCTGTCCCTAGGGGGTGTGGCTTTCCTCGGAGAAGCCTCCCTCGGCTCCCTCGGCACAAAGAAAGGCAGCGGGGCGCTCGGTTTCGAGAACGCCCGGGGGCGCGCTCGCCGGGGCCCTGCCGCAGACAATAGCGCTCCGCACGCACCCCAGAGCCGGAGCGGGTCCTCGCGTCCCCGCCGGGCCCTCGCGCCGACCTGGCACGCACGGCCACCGGCCTGGAGCGCAGAGCTGGGGTCCCCCGCCAGCCTCCAGCGCGCCCCCTCCAGTTGGCGCCAAAACGCGGAGAGCGGACCCGGCGCCCTGAAGACGCGGAGCTGCGGGCGGGGACCGTGGGCTCGCAGACGGCGCTGCGACAGGTTCTTCCCGTCCGGAAGGAGGCGTCTCCTCCCCTCCGGTCTGGTGGAGAATTTACCTCGAGCGGGGCGAGCGCGTGGCGGCTGCCCCGACGCAGCGGGGGCGCTCCGGGCGCGGCAGCCGCGGGGAGGTGACCTTCCCCGGGCGGCGACACCTGCGCCTGCCGATCATCCCGGCCGCCTCCGCGCACGCCCTGAGCCCGAGAATTATTATTAATTTTTGAATCGGCCTCCCTTTCGTCCCCCGCGATTCGTCCGCCCTGAGAAGGAACAGGAGACCGGAAAGGGCGTCGTTTTCCTGCTTCGAGGCCCCAGCCCGCACGGTGGCCTGGGCGAGGCCTGGCCTGCCCCGGGCTCGGGTTACGCAGAAACCAGGAGCCTTGGCTTCCAGAGCGGTGTCAGCGTCAGGTCGCCGACGTGATGTCCGCATATGGGTCAGAGTCTTCACGGGGTGGATGCTAAGCCAGCGCCTAGAGCATGGCCTTTCTGAAGGTGAAGTGGAGAAGGAAACAGACACGACTGCCCTGGAAAACTAAATATTGGGTGGAGTAAGTGCCTAAAAGAAAATAATAGTTGGCAGGTCAAATAGCCACGAGGTCGAAAGTCAAATACAAAACTCTGCTGAAGTGATGTTAGAAATTTGCCAAGCAAAAAAGCCCAGAAAAAGAGACACGCATTGTTTCCTTCCAGCAAAGGACAGCTGCTGAGAAGTTTCTTTTGGCAGATACCTGGGTTCTACTCCAGATGTTAAAGAGTTACTTGAGGTTCATATTTCAAAATACACATTCCATTTGGCAGTAATGTATATCCTTTATATATGGATTTATTGAAAAAATCAGATGTTACTGCCTATTTAGATAAAGGTATTTTTATAAAATATTTATGCATGGCTTTCATTACAGATGGTATGTTAAAAAGGACAAATATATATGTGTATATATATATATATATATAGTGTCACATAAAAATTCCTTTTACACACAGACATTGTTTACACATGTCCTATGAGTAAGTTTTTTCATTTGCTCTATTGTTGGCTGCTGTTGAAACCACCTTATTGTAACATAATTAAATAAGTTATTTTACATTTTGTGCAAGCCGAGGGTGGCAGGTTGATTGCAAGCTGCACTTTTATTTTACAACACTACTTCCCCTCTTCTCTGCTGTTCCTTGGGGTTTGTCTCTTACTTCGTCCTTTCCAAAGAGCCTGGTGGTAGTGACCCATTTTCTTCTGCTTCCTTGATGTCCCATGTTAGTTATTTCTATCTTCGGTGAGGAAAAACGTCTTCGTGTAGAGTAGTGCTGGCGAGCCTATGACGTGACGCAGGGCCCTGTCTGCACTCAAGCCAAGATACCTTTGCGTAGCCCCAGCGGCCGAGCATTAGATATTCAGGTTCAGTTGCGGTGCTGGCATTTTGTGGTTTGGGCCCTCTGTCTCTAAAAGTTTCGCCATCACAGGTAGAATTAGCCTTCCAAATGAGTACATTTCCTATGCTAGAAAGCGCTGGGCAAGAGTAACAGTTCTCCTCCTAAATAACAAACTCATTTAAAAATTGCGTGGGATTCATGAACCCCTTTTTGAAAAAACGAGTTACAAGCCCTCTCATGTACAGTTTTGGGGTTCTCCTGAAGACCAATCTATTGAAGGCAAGGAAATTCTAAATTAAATTTGCAGTCATAAGGCAAGGAGAACCACTCAGCATGGTCAGTCCGAAGAGTTAGGGAAGGATACCTACAGCACGCAAGCTTATACTGAGTCTTGAGTTACAGAGCAGTGGCACAGGGAGAAAAGGAAGGAAGGGCATTTCAGGCAGGTGGACACATAAGTGGACAGGCCTGGGAGGGAAAGCACCAAAAGTGTTAATGCAACACTTAATGAGGTTGTGATTTTATCACAGGTTCTCCTTACAATTCATTATTATCTCTTGAACCTCTGAAAAATGAGGCCATACTGTAGACTAGTAGTCATTCCACTGTAGGGGGCAAAAATCTTGGGCTGTGAGATTTTGGATGAGACCTTTTTGCCCATCATTTGCTGCCCTGGCCAAGTGGTGTTTGAGCTGGTCATAGTTCACTCCTGCAGATCCTGGTCCTGTCTGCTCAGGGCCATCACCAAAGGTTCCTTTCTCTGTTCATTAAGGTCTTTATTCAGTAAGGCTTCAAGGGAGCAGCTTTCCCTCCCCTAAGACAGCAACCCTACCCACATTCCCTTTCTCCAAATAAAGCAAGGAGAATAATTTTTTCATGACCCGACATGACATCATATTTATGAGATGTCCTGTTTTCTGTAATATGAGAGTTTAATGGGCAGTTGTAACTCCTATACCCAAAACAGGGCCTGGCACATAGTAGGTACTTAATAAATACCGATTGAATAAATACCTCCTTAACTACAGCCAGTGTTGAGTAAAAGCCTTGTTTTTAAACTCCGTAACTACAGAATAATGGTATATTAAACATTCCCTGTATCTATTGCACGTATGCTGAGACTGAAATTTCAATCACTTCTCTTTAGCCTAAGTGAAGAAATACAAAACACATGAAACATTTTAAGTACTAAAACTCAATCGTTTTAAAGTAAGGCTTACAAAAAATGTCTTTGTAGTCCATGTATAATGCATAGCTTTTTCTGGCAAAACTGAAACATACTCGTGTGTGTGCTCAGCTGGGGTTTTCCTTTAAAATGCCACATTCAGGATGAACTTGAGTGTGTATGTTCTTGATTATGCCCACAAGTTAGATTTGAAAAAAGATGTAAGAGAAACTGGGAGATTAAAAATTCTCCCCATCTCTTGGTGCTGGGCATGAAAACTAGGACCTTGCACATAGTAGGTATACGCTCTACCAGTGAACTATACACCCCCTCTGTCTTGTTTGAAGATTTTTAAAAGAATCTCCTTACAGGTTGAAGATTCCCTTGCTACCCAATTGGAACTTGACCTGTTGTGGAAAAGTGTTCACCTGTGCTAAAGAATTTGGTTGACTAGTTGCCAAAAGCACAGTTTCTAACCAGCGATTTTCATGTAGATAAAGAAATTCAAGTCCCGTCTTGGTCAGGAGATTGCAGTTCCTCCTAATCAAGTGCAGCAGGAAGTGGTATACTGGAAGATGGTGTTAGCATGCGGGCTGCAGGCATAGCATACATTTTCCAGCTGGTCATAGTCACTCACCCAACCACCAAATCCTAGAATGCTTTTGCATTGGTATTAGCTGTTGAACTCAGGCCAGCACGAATTGAACTTGTGGATGATAAGGCTTTCAAATATGGATGCACGCACCATCTGACTGGTAGGAGAAACCAGTGACTAATAAATAGGATTAGCAGAGATTTGTATAGCCTACTATGCTTTTAAAAAATCTTTTTACATTTATCTCATTTTATCCTCATTTGGGGTTATTTTTGTGGCTTACGCTTTTCCTCTTTCCAGAAGGGATTGAAGGCAATTTAGAAAGCTTTTCTGTCATTGTAGACCTAGAGAAAGGTCTATGACTCCATCACTCAGGGTCATACAAAGAGTGATAAATTGCTTTTTCTAGATTTTAACCCCTAGTAGTTTTTTCTCTGAGGCTTCTTCATTTGCATATCTGATAGCAAGCCTAGATTATTGTATTGTCAAAGGTTCTGTGTTTGTATCTGACAAAAGGAACATGATAAAGACAGTGACTACAAGGTGAGCAGGAAAATAATTGTACCAGTTAATGTACAGAGTTAGTGAGAAACAAGATGAAAAATGAGAGGAGAAAGGAGCAGTCTGTAGTGATGCTCCTTCTTCATTTCTCTTCTCCCTGCAGGCGTTCATACACAGGTGCAGCAGGAAGGACCTGGACCCCAAAGCTTCTCCCTGCACCCAACACACCCTTACTCCTACAGATAGATGCCTGCTGTCTCCGTAGACACCTGCCACCTGAATCACCTGTTGTTTCACTTATTGTCAGAAGTTTCCTGCAAACACAAGATGCCTCATCTTCTAAGGACTAATTACAGGTTACTTCATTTATACTCCTATAAGGAGAATCAGGAAATATATGTAGTTGAGGATACTTGGGAGGGTCCTACCACTTACATCATAAAGAACAGCCAAAGGGATATTCATGAACCACATCTGACAGTAGTCTCCTGCTCCTTTCAGGACCCCAAGGTTGCTTAGGCTCAGGGCCAGGAGCCTTGTCTGCAGCTCACTTACTGATATGCCACATGTAAGATTCTTACCTGGTCATCAACCCTCTAGAAACAATTTTATTTTCCCAAGAAGGATAACAACAGATAGGTGGGTCTGTGTGCCTTGACAGTCTTCTGACCTACCCTACTAACTTCTTACCTGGCTAGAGCGGGTAAAGAGGGAGTCATGTCCCATGTTCAGCACTCACTTACTGGGTGCCCATTTGCTCAGAGGAATTGGATTGCCTTCTGGCCCTGTCTTTGGCCTCACTCTGTATTTGTCTTATCTATCCAAACCTACTTAGCTGAGTGTGGAAACTATTCCCGAAGCCTCCAGCTGAACCCCTGTGAAGTCAGGTCACTTATCAGGGAATTTGGAGACTTTAGTCAAATTAGGCACTCAGGAGAATCTGTATTTTCAAGCCTATTTGCCTTCAGAAATGCTGTGAAACTTACAGAAATGCTAAATTCTGAGCTGCTTCCGAGGTAGTTGGTCTCTGTAGTCACCCTGTCTTACAAACTCTTATTCCAAAGAATAGCCTTTTTAGTTGGTAAAATCTTATCTTTAAATTAATTGTAATTGGGGCTGGGGAGATGGCTCAGTGGAATAAGCACTTCCCTGGCAAGCACAAGGGCCTGAGTTCAGTCCCCGGTTGCGCCAAAAAAAAAAAAAAAAAAGAATGCTACTCTAAATTAATTGTAATTGTGGGCCCAGTCTAGAAAGCAAAGATGAGTTGTTCAGTTCATTCCCTGCTATCATAACTCTCTGGACTTGTTGCACAAATCTGCTTGTTAGTGAACATGACTTAGCATTTTTATTTCATTTAGTTCATATTTTTTGAGTACCAGAGTGCAAGGCACTGTGTTGGGTACCATAAGAATACAAAGAATACCATAAGAATACAATACACTTCTTAGTCATGAACTGTTTGATTCTGTGGAGACCAGAAAAATATTACACACAAGTAACTCGTTTTTTTTTTTTTTTTTTGGCAGAACCGGGGATTGAACTCAGGCCCTTGTGCTTGCCAGGCTAGCACTTATTCTACTGAGCTATCTCCCCAGCCCAACACAAGTAACTCTTAATGTAAGATGATATATTAGAAAATATCCTCAGGACATATGAGAACTTGTACTGTAACGTCATGTACCTCGGTAGTGTCCCAAATTTTCTGATCAAGAAGATTATGGGGCCAAAGAGGAAAGTGATCGATGACGTAGAGTGGGCCTAAGGAGAGTCACATGGGGAGAAGACACTCTCTCAGGCTTTCACAGAGAGCACATTGGCCAAGCAATGGCCGTGACTCATCCACATGGCTGCACTGATAAAGGTTCTACAATCTGAGGTACAGGATCTCAGGACAAATCCTGAGGGCATTTCACTGACCTTCTCAGACCAAAAAGCTACAACTCTTGTTGCATAGGTCCTGCTTTACCTTGGTCTTAACCATCCAGTAGAAAAGTATGAAGACGAAATATAAGAAATAAAGCCATGCTGTTAAGTTGAGCTGTGGGGGACTCAAGTCAGTAATTTCTGACATTGCCAGTTAAACAGAAGACCCAATGCTATTATGGGCTACTGGACTCTTTTAGAATATTTTGCTGAGTTTACACACCTATAATATTCAATAACGGAACTTAGAAAAAATGGGGTATACCGATGAATGTCCATTTTGTATCTGTGTATTCAAAGTGGTTGGGATAGATATATAGTTGCATTCTCTTAATGAATAGAATGA